AAAARRAAMAAAATGGTTTASGCAAAAATGCCAATATATGCTGAACATGCMGATTTTGCGAACATTTATGTATGAAYAAGATAAAATCTGTTAATGTTTAAAGACTCACTTAAAACCTGCTTAAYAACAGATGGTTYTCTTATTAATCGATGTGGTTTTTCTACCGTTTCCGCCTCCATGAATTTTAACCAATGCCGATCATATAGCTGACTTCCAAACAGGGATGGTCATAGAGATGTGCTGTTACGAACACTTTGAAAATGCACTTCCCTTTCGAGCTTTTATTTATATTTGAAAATAAAAATACATCGTAATGTAAGCAAAAATGTACTCTTTTATTATCCCTTTATGCTCTATGAATGGGAATAAAATAAGATTCGACCTTAAAACCGACGGATGGAAACGMATTGCGAATGGATATTTCAGGTCACTGATTATTTTCCATATATGAAAAATCTATAACACGACCGCRTTGAATGCTGGTGGACCATGGTCCTTTAACAATCTTTGTGCTACGAAGGGTAAATATCAATATATTATCCGTCGGATACTTCCTTGTTCAAGAGAAAAAAAAATCTCTAATGCAAAATCTATGGATTGGATGATATCTTTGGAAGGTGGAAAGTTTTACAGCTCTTCGTAGAACCGTTTAAAGTGTCTACTTGTGGAACGTATCTATTATTTCCCATACTTTTTTACGGTGTTAAAATTATCTTCTTTACACTACTGTTACTTGTGGAACAGACCTCAACGTGAGCTTTCACTATACAATCACTTTAAATTGATGATTTGTACGTGTTCAAGTGCAGCGATGAATTGCGGCTTCTAAAATACACACCGCTTAAAGAATAGAAACAGCAAATAGACTCAACAAAGCTATTTCACAAGGAAGTCATCGAATTGCAATGCAAAGAAAACGGCAAACTTCAAAAAGAACAACGTAAAAGCATTGTCTTGCGTTCATGTGAGATGTTTGCAAAACGTTTTTACGTTTCCGTCTGTATAAATGCGTTTCCGTAGCGAATTCAAAAGTTGTGCGTTTTAAAGGAAATTTACCAACGCACTCATGTACAAACATTAGTATTAGCTATTAGCTCTAGAATTAGGCAATGTCCGTTGGGTTCTGTATGGATTCGTATGAGGTCTCATTATTGACTAGCAGCCTTTATATCAGGATTTATATGACTGGTTGTGTAATAAGATAAATTTTAACACCGTAAAAAGTAGATGAAACAATTCCTGACTTACTGACGTTTTGTACGTAAATCCTTCGTCGGAGTAAAGATATGAAACTAGGATAAGTGTGAGTAATGAGAGGAGCTTAGAAAGTAGACAAATTAGAACAAGGTAGGCATGGTAACGAGAAATAAACAATTTTTAAGGTAGTATGTAACTAGTAAGTATGTTAGTAAGTATGACTGGGACTTTCAGGTAACGATTCCGCAAGAAAACGTCGTGTCAGGCTTCTTTTACGTCCTTCCGAAGCTAATTCCCAGTACTAATTATAATGTGAAGTATAGAGAGACGAGTCGAGCGGTTTTGCGTCCTTTCTGAGAAAACTCTATAAAACCATAAAGTTATTTGTTCGAGTGAACAGTTGTGTAAAAAGATAAATTTAACACCGTAAAAATAGGTGGAAGAACTTACTGAAGTTTCGGACTTTAGAAACACCGACGGACTTGTTTACCACTAGTTTTGACCATTTGTTCGAGTGTCCCGCCTACAATGCGTAAACGCATCTTAACTTTCAGTTACTCATATTGTGATATTGATATGAAAACGGTCTTCTTTAAAAAGCGTACGTGTGGTTACGGTCTCTGGATGCGTTACGCACGGTCATTGAAGCGTCCTTTGTGGTTTTATACAAGTGTGGCGGGRAAAAAATCCGTTAGCAAATAGGAAGTGGTTCGCACAATAACTGAAATCAGCCGCAACGTAAAATAAATTACGCAAGGAGAAATTTACGCTTATAAACAATAAAATTATATATAAAACGCGCAATGCTTTTTGAGACGGAAATGCAAGGAAAACTTTTTGCGGCCCAGAGAAAACGGATTTGCGCAAGAATTCCGTAAAAGAGAATGGATTTACGTTAACACGACAGATTGTAGCAATGTTTACTCTAATCTGCCTAAGTTTCGCACTATGCTGGACACAAAGACAGACTTATGTTTCAGTGTCCTCAAAAATGAGTCCTTTGGTGACCAAAAAGTCAAGATACTTACGTAGCYCTCACGTAAACGCGTAACTTCGCGCGTATGCCTAAATACCGCACTAAAGATTAAAAAACCCGGCCGCGGGTCACCATCTAATAAATACTCAAGAAGACCTTTTTTACGCAAGGCTGTACAAATGCCATCGTACTTTAAAAAATTACAATAACAAATAAATTACGCAAGAAGTAATGAATTTACGTAAAATTCTGTGATGAAAAATCAGTATGGACGTCACTAAATGATTATAATCTAGAACGATGTTTGCAGAGTGTCGCTTTATTGTCCCASAATTCGACCTATCAAAAGTTCAATGACATATGACTAGCACAGCACACGAACCAAGAATGACAAAAATAGAACCTGAAATAGAAGTAATTAAGAAGAGAAAGACCGATGACGAGAAAGTGTGATCCAAAGAGATACCGGTAGGTTTACGTTCCCTCAAAGTTCAAACAAACTTTGTAGTCACATTTCCGGACAATTTTGACAAGTTTATCAAAACTTTGCGAATCTAAAATTGAAAATGTCTGAACTCAATCATAAGCCGATTAAATGCATATTTAAAAAAATGGTATATCGTTTAAGCTTTTAAAATCGTAGCACGCGGGGCAGGAATGTTTTTCAAGGGACAAGAGCATTAAAAATTCATGTAGTATATGTAAATGAGCTTCAACTGCAAGGCCAAGATCTAGATTTTTTTACCCTGGAGTGATTTTAAGCAAATAGTACTGAGACCATAACGTATTTTTTTCACACAAAAAACATCCATTTTTTTCTGTTTAAGTGAGTTACAAATTTTAACACTTTCTTTCAATAGATTAACATTAAACGTTTTTTTGTCTAAATGATACGGTACTTAGGTTTTGAAAGCTTGAAGCTGTAGTGTATTGCAATCTCTGCAAATTCGTCCTCTCAGAGTAGAAAAATATTCAACTCTTTTTCTGTTTATCGGTGAGTTTTTTTGGAAACTTAATTGATAAGTTAAGAAACTTAATTGATAAGTTTCTGACCATTTCACTGTTTTGGCTGGTGCAATGGCAACAATAAATTAAAAAACTGAAAGTGAAAAAATGTCGCTCTTTAGCCGTCAAGTAACCTGCATGATAACTCATGGCCAATCACGCTGCAATCGCGACTAATAAGTGAAAATTGACGATAAAGATCCCCTGTACATAAACGAAACTGTTCGTAAATAATGATAATGGCGATCTTAGTTGACCTCCACTGTTGACTTTCACCTTACCATTGTAGAGTTTGAGCAAGTTGCTCCTTCTTCGACTTTGAAACAACTCCATTAAAAGATCTTGATTTGASGTCTTTGATTTCTCTTTCATCGTCTGTAAGTAAATACAATTTACACATGTTTAAGCGTTGAAGTTACTTGTCAACGCTAGCGAAAGATGGTTTTTCCATATGGCTTCTTACAGGTTGGTATTCGCTTTGACTTTCGCATTGCAAGTTGGAGTGTACCGGGTGTCCGTGAAAGTACACTGAATTGACGGCTAAGGACAGTTTGAATAGTCCATTTGAAATAGAGCGGAAAAGGGACTAACAAAAGGCAGGTCAGTCAACTGCAAACATAAGTTATAAGTACACATGCTATCGCACGATTCAACATTTCATCGTATGTCCTGCAAGCTAATTGCTCCCTAAATAAAACATCAACAAAGGCAATTAGACCACCTTCCTTCAAAATGAAATCATGGTTTTGTTTAGAGAAAGTCAAACATTCATGAAAGCGATTTAGAATAAATAGATGACCCTCGGGAATAATTATTTCAAGCAGATAGCACTACATTGATTAAAATGATTTATAAGGAATTATTTTCTAATTATACTCAAAGAACTAGAAAGAGCCCCTCGCACGAAAGATAATCACGCGAAAATGACGCGAATTTCTCGATAATAAAGTTTTTAAAACTAAGCTGTTGAGGGTATTAAAAATCAGAGAATCTAAACAAGTAATTGAACGAAACAAACTGAATCTTTAGCGGCCACTCATCCGAAGCCCTCACAATTRCCAAGATAAATTAGCGATAAAAAATAACACAAACCTAGAATTTCATCGAGTTCTTGCTTAATCTTCTTACATGGAAGTCTTTTGGGCTTATTGCGGTTGCTGTCATCTCTTCTCTTCAATAACCCAACTTCTACAAGCTTAGCCGAGAGAAGTTCATAGTTTCGTCCTCTGTTTCGTGTGCTAGGCATTCTACTTAGACAGAATAGCGGCCTGCAAACGAAACGTTGTTGATCGGAGTCGTATATATCAAGTTTTCTATTTAAGAAACTTGTGTCAACGTTGTAGATAAACAGAGTTCATGAGCGTCAAGRCTGAATCTTATATGTAAAACAGCACATAGCAAAGAACAAAGACGATCATACGAAGGTGACAAGCTTAAGGACATAAAAATTAATTCTACGTAAATACATGCTCAGAAATCAGCGTACTACGTCATCTTGGCTTGTTGCAAAAACTTTTGCACGCACTTCCGACGAATTAACTCAATTACAGGCTTTCCCTGAGCAGGTCCTTGTCAGCCAATCAAATCGCAGGAATGTAATTATCGACCGCCCTCTAAGACAAACAAAAGAATGGTTGTCATGGGAGCAAAAGACTAACAAAACAAAAGCCATTCATTGCTTTGTGTGGGAATTTACGACACATAGAGCGCTAAAGTGATGACTGAGCAAAGTTGTAAAGAAATGAAGTGTATTTTTAGTCGCATTGAACACATACTGGGATCGGAATACAAAAAAAGCCGCTTAAACAGTATTCACACAATACAGTTAAAAAGGCACGGCTTTGATGAGAAAATTTTCTTGATTGATAAAAGAAATCGTAGATTTAAAACAATATTTTACAACATAAAAGATGTTGATATGTTAATAAAATATTAATTGATGAATTATTGAAATATTATTAATAAAAGTACATGATATCAGATGTGGACTTTAAAGTTAAAGACGATCAAGAAGTTTTATTGATTTAAAAGAAGAGTTAACCGGAAAACTCTCCTATTTTTGTAAGCCTTTGCTTCCACCTGGGACAAGAGAAAATTAAATACAACCTATTTTTTAAACTGTTGTAGATAATATCACGTTATTGGGAAAAAGGGTTTGAATTCAAAGCAATTTTTCCTAAACATAGTCTGCGTAGCGGCTCTAGGGGAGGAGGGAAGGGTGAGAACGGAAAGGGGGGAGGGGGAGGGGCGGAAAAAAGGAGATCTCTACCACCGACCCCCTCCCCCTCCGTTCTCGGGCGACTACATTATTTGTTTTTTKTTTTTTTTTCGGAACATCCAATTTCTGCCAGCAACTGTCACTTTATAATCCCTCGATTTATACTAGAACCTATCCCAGGGCCAAACTTTGATTAATAGTAAAAAATGAAGATAAACGAAATAAAGAAAGAAAGACAAAAAAGAAAAACAAGAATATATTCCTGTTTCAGACTCGGGGAGGGATTGGGACCGATGCTGTGTCGTTTCTCCWTTCTAAAAATAGCTGCAATCCTGGACAAAAAGGTTGAGAATAACGGCACCCTTCATGTCAGTTCAACAAATCATGCTCTCAACCCCCTCCCCTCCCCCAAAACAATGTTGTTAGCACTCAGACAGAATCCAGCAGGTATGTGTGCCAACTTTGAGCAAGGGGGAACCGGGGGAGGGCAAGAAAAATAGAAAATTACGGAGATTTGTCAACATTCAGCGATTTAAAAAAACATTCTCAACTCTTTTTGTCCAGGATTGTGGCTTCCTGTGTTAGGTCAGTAGCAGAGGGGAACTAGTAACGAGCCGGGGAAAAATGAAAGGCGAGGCGCCTGCCATCTCGGTTTTGCTTTTCCCTCCACTATAGTCCCGTCTATTCTCTATTTTTTTCGCATGGAACCCGAAGTATATAAGAACTGGAACCTCACCACCATCCTAAACCATACGTTAGGATTCAGAAAGGACTCAAAACGAATGGAAAGGGCCTAGGAATGAGTTTCGCACACACATTATCATTCATTATCACTCATTCCCAGGCCCTTTCCATTCACCTTATCAAAGGACACTGGTCTCTCCCTTATTGGCTAAAATTATCGTAACCTCGACAAAAAAAAAATCAAAAATTAATAAAAAAAAATAGATTTTGGAAAGCAAATTAACAGAACAAACAAGACACAAATTGGCTAAAATTATCGTAACCATGTCGAAAATATGTCAAAAATTATGAATAAAAATAGATTTGGGATAGCAAATTAACAAAGCAAACAACGCAAATTGGCTAAAATAATCCTAAACTTGTCAAAATATGTCAAAAATTAATATTAATAAAAAAAATAGATTTTGGATAGCAAATTAACAAAGCAAACAACGCAAATTGGCTAAAATTATCGTAAACTTGTCAAAAAATGTCTATAATAAATAAAAAAAATGATTTCGGAATTGGCTAAAATTATCGTAAACTTGTCAAAAAATGTCTATAATAAACAAAAAAAAAAAGATTTCGGTGAATTAACAGAACTAACAACGCAAATTGGTAATTGCTAATCAGCCGGACAGTTTGACTTGATTGCAGTCATTTTCATTTGTCTGTGAAATAATTACTACTAGTCAGTGTTTGATATTAAACTATCGAGGGTGTAGTTAGGCTCAGTCTCCAGCCGTCGGGATTTCGTACGCCCGCGATACTCTCTCCCCTGACGGCTGGGCGCATGGGGTTCGAAGCGTGTCGCGCATGTCCGTGACGTTTTTGTGTAATTAGCATATTATGACGTAACGGAAGTGAATTTTTCAGATAACGGAAGTGAAATATCTGACAACAGCCGTAAAGGTTTTGCTACAAGGCGGGAAATTATGTGAAATGAAAACTTCGCGAAGTAGCGATATAATGTAATAGTTAGCGCTTTAAAAAAGAGAAAGGAATGGAAATTACCCCAAGTAAAACATGTGCAGGGTTTAATAATCCAAATGGATGTATTATCTGCCAGAAAAACGAGCAAAATACACTAGTGGCGCTGTTTGAAAAATAAGAGATTTGCCCGAGCCAGTATAGGAAGAATAACAAGGACATCTTTTCCAAGAACAATCTCTTTAAGAGCCTTTTGCTGTATTTCTCTAAATTCGTCCAATCTAAACGACTTCAGAGCCTTCAAACAAGCACTTTAAAAGAGAATCTCAAACGACGAATTGTACGCCATTTTGTTACACTGCTGCCTGCTAATTTATTAATGATATGCCCCTGAAAATATCGGGGGCCACTCGCTGATTGGTCAAGACTGACAATAGCGAACCCCATGCGCCCAGCCGTCAGGGGAGAGAGTATCGCGGGCACACGAAATCCCGACGGCTGGAGACTGAGCCAAGGGTGTAGTAGGCTACCAAAAGGCAAAATCAAAATCGTTTTTGCCTAATTAGTTAAACTATTGGGAGCTAATAGGGGGTAATAGTATTCAATAGTACACAATTCCTCAATGACTCTAAAAGCTGTCTTAAAACATCCATCATTTTGAACCAAAAGAACGATGTCTGGTTGAATTTATTATTCCTCTATTTTTCCCGTTTACTCTTTTTCGCGCTGGTACATCACTGTAAAACATTGTATTGAGAGTGAAATAGAACGGATTTCGTATGAGTGGGAAACGGACGGTACTGTGCTGTGATCGTAATCGTACTGTAACCAAATTCTAGTGCCCCACTGGCTCACCAAAATTGTGCAGGCCAGGTCCGGTAACTGTGCGGTAACCGTGCGGTAACGGTGTCCCACTCATCGCT